AAATTTTTGAAAAACTTTCAGTTTTAACAAGTTACAAATGGAGGGTAATATGGAATTGGTAGTTTAAATCATTGAAAAACTGATTAGACTTCATAAAATAGTTATTTTTAACTATAAAAACTATATTTTTAAGATTATGTGCATGTCATTCCTGCTTCGAATCAATTTAGAAAAGTCTCAGATATAATTTTCCTTCTCTGTTCTGGTACAATCAAGGTGAGCCCATAGAGAACANATGTTTATTTATATGTAATAGTAAAAATACATATATATGCAGACTTGCATTTTTATTATTCATGTTTTTTATATTTTTGAGGGTTAAAGTATCTGTCCAATGTCGATTGCTTTTCTCTTTTCTTTAGGAATTTTCAAAAGTAATTAATAGTATTGTAATTGTAGAAATCCGCAACCCCATTAACCTTATTCTGGTTTGGATGCCACTTGGATGGATGATCGTTGTTCTAACATCCTCCCACTTCTTCAAAAGATCTTTAGTAGCAGATGTCGACATTGGTCCTCTTCCGTCTTCCTCTTTTTCAAAAGAAAACACATCTCGTTGAGTTTCTTTGTGTTCTTCATTTCAGAGTTCTTAGAGTTCTTCTGTCGTCAAATCAGTTTCAGGTTCCATTATGAACTCTAAAATGCTCTTTATTTCTCAGATATGATTTTCATTACTCTGTTAGCAGCTCGAGACTTCTCGATATATGTTTTATAGCTAAGATTGTGCCTACTGCAGGCCTGTTCGAGCCATATTGCCTAGCAATAATAGACATCTTGTGCCCACTTTCTACCTTAGCTATTATCTCTTACTTGGTTTCTACGATGAGCACAGTTATTGACACTCCTCTTTTTTAGGCTCCATAATATTATCAGTTTCTTTTTTAAATAAATAGTTCAGAAAAGCACTTACAAAAATTCAGAGAACAGAAATCAACTAGCCCACGAAAAATTATTTAAATGCAAGGCCCAGATGTAATTCGAAATTTGGTATTAAAACGTTAACGAACATCCGATGGGAAAGTTAAACTTTCACCTTTCGTAAATAAACCCCGAAGCAAAACTTAACGAGTGCCCGTCCGACAGTCTCACAAATACTATAAAAAATTATTGGTTAGAAAAGTTAACAAAAAGCTGGAATTACAAGGGAGAATTTCNTCAACTCTCACTTCACTGCATCGTGGGAGTCTTTCTTGAGTAGTTCATGGTATTCACTAAAGAGTGTCAAGTATACACAACTCAGACCTGTACATTCGATAAGCTATAAATTGGCTTTATTTCTTTCGCTTAGACAGTAGTGACAATATGCAGTATGTGTATCCTATATGTTTTCGCTGTCATCGCGTACACTGAGGCCACTTTTACCGATTTTTACTCTTAATTAATCAGACACAAAAGATAAGTAAACTATTACTATTGTCGAAGTGTATCTCCATACACTTATGTATCTATGACATGTATTTCGCATTTTTTCTTTTTTATATTAATAGAAACTATTTTGTATCTTAACAAAGTACTTAAGAGCAACAAACTATTTTTATGTTTTGTGAATTTTGTTTGTAAATACAAATGAAGAATTATGACACCAAATACTTGAAAACTGTTTTGTAATATTAAAGTAATTTCAGGAGACACTCAGGATCTATCCTCCGGTTCCAGTCATAGTGAGAAAAAACCCATCCGATTTGAAAGTGGGTCTGCTTTATCATCATTTAACGGATAAAAGTCTCAACGAAGAGGATATCAGAGAAGAAGTTGATACATTCATGTTCGCAGTAAAATCAGTTTTATTTACGAACTTAAGAAAAAGATATTCGGGGTATATATGAATTGTCTTTTTGTTAGGGTTACGACACAAGCGCAATGGGTATTAGTTGGTCTCTTTATCTGCTCGGATTGCATCCCGATATACAAGAGAAAGTTTACCAGGAGCAGGAAGAAATTTTTGGTGAAAACACGAATAAATGTATTACGTCCGAAGACCTTAGAAAAATGAAGTATCTGGAATGTGTTGTCAAGGTAACAATTTACGTTTAAATGCCTAGTTGAAAGGTGAAATTTACACATTTAAATAATCAACAACCGTGAGGCATTTAATAGTGAGGGCTTAACCAAACCAGTGATGGGCACAAACGATCCGGAATCGAAGTAAAAAAGTTTGATAAACACAAAAATAACTACATAGGTATGGAAACGAAAAAAACCAAAATGCATTTGTCCCTCATCAGTTGATATTAACTAAAGGCTTTAGCACATTTAAAAATATACAAGGTAAAGGTAAACCTAAAACAATGCTTAAAGCTGTAGAATATAGAGGGAAGGAGGGTAGTATGGAATACCATATACATTTCTAAAAATAAATTTACTGGTTTTTGAATAAAAATCCCAAAATCATCATCAGTACGTTTCGTATCAAATTGTAATAAACTGTCATTCGTAAAAAATACTATTTATTTTGTTGTTATAAAAAATATATTTAACCCCTCAGTTCCTGATCAACTTTTAATTAATTATAATTAAGCATTAAAAATATTTAAACTGATAAAAAGGAAAGAAATGCGTTAATTTTGAAAAAAAAGCTTCAAATTTAATATTCCTTTGTCTGGTCTTTCTGTGAAATTTGACACTGATGACTCATTGTTTACTCAGCTGGATGACCTTGAAAACAGCTGGTGTCGTATTTCCCGGGATATTCTCATAGACGTCTCGGGAGGTTAAAGTTGGGTGAATACTAGTTAGACCTATGTTTTTAAATATTTAAAAAAAATTAAAAATTTTATTGCGATTTCCGACCCCCCGACTTAATTTAACTTGTATGTAATAAAATATATTAATTTAAAAAACTAAAAAACTATTGGAGGTCGTTTTTTGACATCAGAAAGTAGCTTTAAATAACTTTACCGAAGTCAAATTCATGCACTACAACTTTAGAACGATTAATTAAATTTTAAATTTTAAATTTATAAATTTTAATTTAAAAAAATCGCCTTAAAAACAATTAAGCAAAAACAGTTAATCGCGCGTCATTAAAGATTGATTAAAATCGCGATAAAATTTTTTTGCACAGGTAAAAATTTTTGAAAAACTTTCAGTTTTAACAAGTTACAAATGGAGGGTAATATGGAATTGGTAGTTTAAATCATTGAAAAACTGATTAGACTTCATAAAATAGTTATTTTTAACTATAAAAACTATATTTTTAAGATTATGTGCATGTCATTCCTGCTTCGAATCAATTTACAAAAGTCTCAGATATAATTTTCCTTCTCTGTTCCGGTACAATCAAGGTGAGCCCATAGAGAACAGCTGAAGCATTGAATCCAAATTTTCCCTCGTTAATCTTCGGATAATTTTGCAGAATATACATTCATCGTCTTCGTTTTCTGGTTCTTTAGTTGATGGCACGAGTCCATTACAGATAATACATCAAAATGGAACGATTCATCGCTGCTAACACTGGAGTCATCTCTAGTAGGTTCAAGTCTAAAAGGTCGGTCTAAGTTTAATTTTTTAACATGTGGTTAGGTTTGGTTAGATTCTTTTGTTGTTTAAACCTTCTATTTTTTTTTTTTTGGTCCTTTCTTTCAGTTTATCCATTTATGCTAGTATTCCATAATACCCGACACGCCGTCTTGGAAAATGAATCTCTAAACTGATAAACAAAACATTGTCAGCTAAAAAACGATTACAGTATAACAAACTACAATTCATTTAGTGTGCATTATGCTTAACATCAATGTTCAAGTCACATGTGTAGGGTAAAATGTATAGGTTAAAATGTTTGAAAACTTGCCTGCAAAAATCTTGAAAATCACAAAACACAATTTGCTCTGTAGCGAGTGGTACGACGACAACAAGCGGTCAACTCTCACTTCACTGCATCGTGGGAGTCTTTCTTGAGTAGTTCATGGTATTCACTAAAGAGTGTCAAGTATACACAACTCAGACCTGTACATTCGATAAGCTATAAATTGGCTTTATTTCTTTCGCTTAGACAGTAGTGACAATATGCAGTATGTGTATCCTATATGTTTTCGCTGTCATCGCGTACACTGAGGCGACTTTTACCGATTTTTACACTTAATTAATCAGACACAAAAGATAAGTAAACTATTACTATTGTCGAAGTGTATCTCCATACACTTATGAATCTATGACATGTATTTCGCATTTTTTCTTTTTTATATTAATAGAAACTATTTTGTATCTTAACAAAGTACTTAAGAGCAACAAACTATTTTTATGTTTTGTGAATTTTGTTTGTAAATACAAATGAAGAATTATGACACCAAACACTTGAAAACTGTTTTGTAATATTAAAGTAATTTCAGGAGACACTCAGGATCTATCCTCCGGTTCCAGTCATAGTGAGAAAAAACCCATCCGATTTGAAAGTGGGCATGTATCGCATTTTGAGAGTAAATACGCTTCCCAGCAATTACAAAAATTCCATTGATAAGAATGAAATTTCCTTTCAGGTAATTATATCTTACCGGCAAAATCGTCCCTTGTAATAAACATTTATGGGATTCATCATAATCCAACGGTTTTCGTAAATCCCGAGGTGTTCGATCCGGATCGATTTCTACCAGAAAACTGCGCGAAACATCATCCCTTTGCCTTTCTACCGTTCTCTGCCGGTCCACGCAATTGCATAGGTAAGTAATTGTGATATGAGACAAAGCCTTACTGTGTTTCTGACGTATTTACCTTTTTTCAGGTCAAAGATTCGCTATGATGGAGATGAAGACAGTTTTATCGAATGTTGTTCGACATTTTCGGGTGAAGTCTTTGGACCATAGAGATAAGATTTTCGAATCTGGTGACGCCATTCTTCGTCCTAAATTCGGTATAAGAATGACTGTCGAAAAACGATAAAAAGAAAGTATTTTCTTTCAGAAAATATAAAATCTATAAATTAACCAAACAGATGTTTATAGTACAAAGTTTCATGTATTCCAGATTCTTATCTATATGATAATCTGCGCTTCAAATGTGTATACATGATTAGACTGGCCAAAAAAAGGCCAATGTTAGATAAAAGTCAGAGAAGGCGACGTGCAAACGTTGACACATACGTCTGATTTCTTTCAGCTCTTTTCTTTTCTATGTTCTTAAAAAGTTTTATGCTAGTTTTGTTATAAACAATTGAACTTTCTTGCAATTTATTTATTTTTTTTGCAATTACTGTGATTTATTACGTGTGAACGGTGAATGTCGTCTTCCATCTTTGTCATCTGACATAGACCCTTTCCGTTTAGATTGATTAATATCACTGCGTCGAAGATANGCGATGAGTGATACTTTCAGCGAGTACTCCGCTGTTTAATGATGCGCAAACACAATACATAGATATTACATGAACTAACAAGTAAAAACTTGTAAAACATATGTAATAATATGCAGCAAGAAACCTCAAAATTTCTCTCTTAGGTGAGTCTTCAAGATGCAACGTTTCGTTTAATAAATAATAGAAAGAAAACCCGACATGGTAAATTATTATTGAAATGCGAGATTTCCCGGGAAAATTAAATTTTCCGGGATTTTTCTCGTAGGGAATAAATGGCGAGAATCCCGGGAAAACGAGATCCCGGGAAAGAAACCCTAGTTGACATCTCCCGCACTCCGAAAGGTTTCGAATTGTTACCTGAAGACAATAAAAAATCAGTCGGTATTCGTTATTTTCCATCGCTTCTTTTTGTATTTGTTCAGTAAAGTGTTCATTATCCGACCATAAAAATCTTTTGCGAAAGTGTTCGTTATCCGATTTCTTCACTATCTGAACTTTTCGTTAACCGATCACCCACTGTATAGTGAAAGAATTTGGAGTGTGGCCTCAATATTATCCATATAGTTGAAAAAGTAACAAAATTAAGATTGCTGTAGAATCTAGCTCAAAGTAGATGACAAAAGTGAGTTTAGGGAACAAAATATTAAGATGGCAATTACTTTTGGAATGGTTTTGCATGATCAAAAAGAATAATGTGGTAAAACAGTAGTATTCAATAGAAGGGAAAGTGCCGTGTCTCGTATTTTATTTACGCTTGTCTACAGGACCCACAGCAGGTGTTCATTTCCTATCTGAATAGAATCTGAAGTATGAAGTATCCCGAACCAATTATTTCAACCTTCATTGGTTGAGATAATTGGTTCGAGTAATTTTATGACTTAAGGTGAACATCATTATATGGTTTACATGTTTGTAAATGATATTTACAATTATAAATAAAAAAAAATGCTTTTATTTTTGTGTGTATTTACACTGATAATTTATTATAGCAAAACATGTTGTTATTAATTATATCTAACAGCCGGAATTGCCATGACACGTGATGCAGAAATGCATAAAATAGAAATTATTGCCTTAAGCAATGGCACAAAATGCATTATTGGAAAAAATGTAAGTATGGATGGTAAATCTTTGAATGATTGTCATGCCGAAGTGCTTGTACGAAGATGTTTGAAACTTTTTCTGTATGGTCATTTAAAATTGATAGCCACTGGACGGAAAAATGATTCAATCTTTACCGAATGTAAACGAACGGGTGGTTACAAACTCAAAGCCAACATAAAGTTACATCTTTACGTTAGTGACCCACCTTGTGGTAATTCAAGAATACATTTGCCTGAGAAATTTATTCGCAAATCTTTACATCGTACTGCTTGTGGAGTTTTAAGATCAAAAAATGAATTCAGAAACGAATCTTTACTTATTAAAGCTAATGATGGAAATCGAACAATAGAGTTAATGAAACAGCAGAAACAACAGTGTATAACAATGTCCTGTTCTGATAAAATTGCCTCGTGGAACGTTTTAGGCATTCAACGTTCGCTTCTTAATTATTTCATACAACCGATATATCTGGAAAGTATTGTTTTTGGAAATGATGTTTATCCTGGATGTATATTTAGAGCACTGTGGGGTCGTTTCGAAAAATCGCTTAAAATGTTGCCGGAACCGTATCATTTAAATAAACCTAAAATATGCTGTGTAAGAAATCCTGAAAACTGCGAATTTGTAGAACATCCAGATTTCAGTGTTACTTGGTCGGTCGGATTTAAAAGCCCTGAAATAGTTAATTCAACAACAGGAAAATTAGAAAATGGAAAGATTTCGAGTTTAAGTAAGAAAGCATGTTTTCGTCGATTTAATAAATTATACAACAACATTCCAGTTGCTGCTAAACGACAGTTGAATAGAAAATTAAAGTTGTATTCGGAAGCAAAACAATCTGCCTTGAATTATCAAGCAGCTAAAAGCAACTTGAAAGAAGCATTTGAAAATGCAGGTTTAGGAGTTTGGATAATAAAACCTTTACATAAAGATGATGTTGAATAATAAATTTAATTTTATCTTTATCTTTATATTATAAATTAATCTTTATAAATGTTGTCATTTACCTTTATAATGAATTGAAAAATACAAATGAATAAGAATAAGAAAAATACAAATTTACTGTATTAAAGTTAACTTTAAATGCACGTTTTATTATTTTTAAAAATGTGTTCTTGAATGCCTTGTCAATGGCATTAAAGTTTTGGTACATTACCAATTAACTTTTATATAAAACTATATCTGGCGTTACAATTATATATGACATGTAAAAGCGTATTTGTTTATATAAATTAAGCAGGGCTGTGGAGTCAGAATTGTGGAGTTTTGATGTTTTAGCTGAAGTCGGAGTCGGATGGTAAGGAAAAGTCGGAGTCGGAGTCGGTAGATTTTTACGCCACTCCATAGCCCTGAAATTAAGCAAAAAGTTTTGGTAAAAATCCAAGTATGACATTTGTTACTTTTGTTATTTTCTTTTTTGAAATTTGCATTTTGAAATTGAATTTACAAAAAAATAGTTTTTCAAATTATATCTAAGGTTCTAGATTAGTCATAAACAAGAAAATGTTAACAAAATGATTACATTACAAATTTCTTTATGTTTCATACTTTTATATATATATTTTTTTATTACTTCATAAGATTTGAATAAGCTTGTCAAAAACAGATCAAATTCTATATTTATTTTAGAATAATTGTCTATTTGTAAAAGATCCTACAAATTTAATCAATTAGATAATATTTATTTGTTACCTGGAGAAAAAACTTTCTGTAAAAAGACAACAATAAATGGCGTTACAAGATCATTCATTCCTTGAATATAACCGCTGGCAGGATGATGAATTGTCCAAATGTATAAGACATGTTCAAATGCCTAAAAATACATAAAAGGATAATAATTGCAATTTATGTTTTGTAATTAATAAAAAGGATTATAATAATTTTGTTTAAAAATATACACTATTTCATTCAAAAGTTATAAAAGAGCTTCTTGTTCTCATTTAGCACATAAATTGCTTTACATTGTTCTGTACAATACTTGTATATCCATCTCACTTTCCTTATAAATGCATTATGTTTTACACAGTGTGATGCACCAATTGGCATACTATTTTCTGTTAAATCTAATTACCCTTCATCTATGAAGGAAGAGTTGAAAACAAAATATGCTGAAAATAAGCTGGATATTCAAGCACAAAATACACTGATACAGAGGTTATGCCCAAAATGAAATGAAATTAACATTTCTATAAATCAGGTTTAGGAAAATTGAAAAAGTACCTTAAAACTGATCAAACAAATTAGTTCAGATAGCATAAATGTAAATCAGTACTACTACTTTGGAACTAACAGGGAAATATTTATCATAGTAAAAAAATAATAATATTCAAAGAATGAACTGAAGTTAGTTACAAAATTAATTAATTATAAATGGAAATGTACTGTACCACATCTGCTAAAATTTCTCAAAATCAGTCAGGTAAATAAGACTAATATATACTTGTAAATATTCATAATACAAAACTTACCATTTATTATACCGTGTTTCCCCGAAAATAAAACATCCGCAGAAAATAAAACCAAACACTGGTTTTGCTGAATTGCGAAATATAAGACGTAACAAAATTTTTTTAGTTGTAACGGCATCGACAGATGGTTGAAAGTGGCCGTTGGCATTTTGAAAGTACAGCCACTGATTGGTCAGCAGACAATTACGCAACACGGCATGATTTGCATAAGACTATGGCTTGGGAATCACAGATTTGCATAACGTTACGGCTGGTGATGGCTAATTGGTCGGCAGGGAATCACGCTACATGACATTTGCATAGAGCTACGGTTCAGTAAGCACTAATTGGTCATCGAGTCCGATGTTGACGCTATAAAAAGGCGACAGTTCGACACACCGGATATACGTCACTCTCGTCTAAGTTCGACTTGGG